GCGGGGCCCGGCCGCGCCGCTAATTGGGAGCAGGCGCGCGGGGCCGCCGAGCCCCCCGGCCGCGGCCGGCGCAGAGCGCAGGAGGCGCCGCACGTGCTCACGCTCCAGGTGCTTTTATTCAACGTTACTCGCAGACCCCGCGTGCGGGTCAGTCCAGTCCAGGCACCGCAAACCGCTGCAACCCCAAACACCAACAAACCGAGGGGGGAAGCGCCGCGGGGGGAACACTGCGTGGCCCCCACGCCGGGGACGGAGCCTCGAGCAGCCAAGGCAGAGCCCCGAGGGGCAGGGGGGTCACGGGGGGCCCTGGGGGGCCAGGACCCCCGTGAAGCCACCAGGCAGGGATGTCTGTCCCAGTGCCCTGTGCGGGACAGGCTGGGAGAGGGAGGCTCAGAGGCCTTGTCTCTCTGGCCAGTGAGGGCTTTGGGACAGCGCAGAGAAGGGGACTCTGCTTTAGGCAAGACCCAAATGCACTAGGGCAGCAGGGAGCCCTTGGCAGCCCCTCGCCACTCGAGGCCCTGCAGAGGGTCACACAGCGACAGCAGAGCCCAGGAGGCGCCCAGAGGGACAGAGGTGGCTCTGGCTGATGGGGCCACTGCCATGGGGAGGACGCAGTGCCATGCGGGCCCCTCTGCCTGCCCAGGCCCTGCACACAGCGGCAAGGGGGGGACAAGGCCCCCTCTGGCCTCCCCTGCCAGGCCAGGGTCCCTGCCCCATGCGTCCCCCCCGGCCCGTGCAGGGAGCGGTCCCGGCCTGGGACACGAGGCCAGGACCGCCCTGTGCACTGGGCCTGGGGGCAAAGCTGGTGCTGCCGGGGCAGGGAGCTGGAGCCGCATCCCAGGGCCCAGCGGAGGCCAGGACAGCGTCTCAGCCCGTGGCCCAAGGCAGGAGCGCGAAGAGCAGAGGGGAAAAGCTGGAGCGCCCCCGGGCCCGGGGCAGCGCGGGGGCTGCGGCGCTAGGTGCGCGGCAGGCTGCACATCTCGCAGTGCTCCGTGCCCGGCTGGTTCATGAAGGTGCAGTGCTGGCAGGCCCACATGGCCG